GTCAGGTCATAGTAAACACTTTGGGTTTTATCCTGAGATGGGAGGCCTTTGGAGGGTTTGAAACAAAGGAGTGACATTGTCTGACCCCCCTATTAACAATATACTCTACTGGTTTGTTGAGGTTAGATTTCTAGGAGAGTTAGGGCAGAAGTAGGTCTACTAGTTTGGAGACTATTAAAATAATCCAGACAAGGGTGATGATAGCTTAAACCAGGATGGCAGCCATAGGGGTGGTGAAAGTCTGGATAAATTTTGTTTGAAGAGATGGTAGGAATTGCTGACAGCGACGTAAAGTGTGGAAGAAAGACAGGAGTCAAGACTGGCTCCAAGGTTTTTGTCTTGTGCAATGAGAGGATTGTATCAGTCCTTAACTACTACAGATGGGCGAGACATCAGGAAGAGCCCTTCCAGGAAGGAAGATCAGTTTTGGATATGCTTTAGTTCACATGCCCGTTTAGGCATCCAAGTACATATGTAAAATAGGCAGTCCTAGATATTGGTCTGGAATAGGGAGAGGCCCCGTCTAGGGATTTAAATTCAGGAGTCATCCCATGGCCTGGAGAGAATACCAAGAGAGCTCATGTAGATGTAAAAGGGAAGAGGTGCCAGGACTGAGCTATGAGGTACAGGGATCAGGAGATAAGGAGTGTTCGGCCAAAGAGACTGAGATGGAGCAACTAGAAATTCCAAAGAAAACTCAGACAAGTGTGATACATTGGAAGCAGAGACAGGGGGAGAGTTGTCATCAGTGTTCCATGCTTGTATTAGGTAAAGTAAGTTAGGATTGAATAATGACCATTATATGTGGCAACATGGGGATCATTTTATCTTGTAATTCTCATGAAAGTATAAATACTTGAGAAAAACCAAGGAAAGTGTGAAAAATTGTGACTGGGACTCCCCAGATATCAGAACATACCATGTACGTCTTCTATAATTAAAGCAATGTTGAAATGATATAACAATGGACAAAGGGACCACAGTTGAAAACCCAGAAGATTATCTCAGTATATATAAATATTTATTATATGATAAACATAGTTCTCTTCAAAAGGAGAAGGGTGTGGTTTTTAAAAAAAAGGGGCTAGTCCAAATGGGTATCCATTTGGAAGAAGATAAGATGAATCGTGAAAGTATTAAAAACTTAGATGTGAGAAATAAAGCAGTAACCATCTTGCAAAAATATACAGGAGACCACATATACAATGTCAGGGTAAGGTGTTGTACCAAGACCTCATACCCTTTAAAAAAAAAAAAAAAGAAGGAAATGGACAAGAAAAGAACAAACATTAATAGAAAAAATAAGAGATGTGAACAGAGTTTTTAGAAGAATAAATTAATTGGCCGACAGACTTAAGAAAGTGTTCAAGTTGTTAGTAGTTGGGGAAATAAATCAGTGAATATTGATCATTGGCAAAAAAAAAAAAAAGTTAACCATTGCTAACAGGTATAAAGGAAAAAGGATTCTTATACCTTGTAGTTATGATTTATTTTCCCCCATAATATTGCTAATGTGATACAAATTAGTTTCTACTCAGGAAGAAACATGTTGTAATAAAAAGTTGGGTTTATTCGTACTAAGAATACCACTGTGCGGCCTAGCCACATAGCAGTACTAAGGCTCTAGACAGCTCACGTAAACTCTTGAGGCCTCATTTTCCTTATTGTGAGGTGGAGATAGCCATCCTAGGCTGACTGCTTTTGCCAGAAGTTGTGAGGATCAGCTAACGTGTATGCCAGGTCTTTGAAAATAATACAGTGTGATTCCTAGAATCTTAGCACAGGCCATGAGCACAGAGTCCAAGAACAAATGACGTACAGTTTGACAGGTACACGGGGAGAAGATATACTTCTCGATGTAAGTTGTACAGAAGGGCCCTGTGAAGAAGCATTGTACTCAGCACTGAGGCTCAGTTTGGTAGGCCTGGAACAGTGCTGCCCTGTAGAACTTTCTGAAATGATGAAAACACTCGGTGATCTGTGTGCTTTTTCATATAGTAGCCGCTAGTCACATATGGCTATTGAGCACTTGTGCAACAGAGGACATGAATATTTAACTGTAATTGATTTTAACTAACTTAACTTTCTGTATAGTCACATGTGGATAGTACCATATTGGTTAGGACAGGAAACCTTGGCAGTGATCAAGCTACACACATCTATTGAATTATAATCTGAGGCAGGTTATAACCAGAGACCAATTAAATTACAGTCAGAGGTATGTGGGGTTTATATTTGCCACAAGTAAACTGGGCATTAAAATGTTTGGCGAACAAAAGATCAGAATCAGGAAGTTGTTAACAGTAGGTACTCAGTGAGGAAAGCATTTATCCAAAGAAGACTGTAGAAGCTGTGCATTCAGACTTGTTGGCCAGAAGTCTAGACACACTGGCCTCATTGCTTTCCCAGTTCAGCTTTTGTTTTGCATCTTCCTTGCTGCCCATCACAAAGTTCTCTTCACTGCTCTTAAGGTCAGAGCCCTGGCTCTGCTTTTTCTCTGTTGTGAATCTCATCCGTGGGGTTTGTTTATTCTCCTATAAATGGATCAGATACCTCTGCAAGGTCCTTTTCTGTTCTAACATTCTAAGAACTTTTAAGGAGATAGCTTGGTTTTCATGAGCTGCGTTTCAGGAGTGATTTAGGGATCAGGGTGAGAACGGGTTCTGTAGCCAGCTGTCTCCACCTGTAACATGGGAATTTCTCTCAGCAGCATCAGGCAGTGGGTGGCCTTTCCAAGGTCAGGGAGTCTTGGTCTGTCCTGGCCATGACTTACTAGCTTGGAGATACTTTCCGTTGAGCACAGAACAATCAATTTTGTGTATTTCCATTTTATTCTTAATGCACAAACCAAATTATTTTAAGGTTAGGTATTTTAAAAAATGAATTTGCAGGCTCATGTTGAAATCGATGAAGTCTTCTCTTTTTGTGGTTAATTTGTTCTATCATGTTTTGTGGAAGATAGTTGTAAACTGTCATTACCTAAGAAGCAAAAAAAAAAAAGGTTGCCATTTTTTAATGTTGTCAACATTTACTGATTTTGATTTCTCTTTAGAGAATCCACCCATGTGAATATTTTAGTGAGTAAACAGTTGGCTACATAGAGAACTGGAAAACTGTGAAAAGTATTAAAAGTACAGTTGTGTGTTTACTCTTGGGAAAATACATCCAAAGTAGAATGCCTAATTCCATCTTCACAGATTTTTAAACTTGAGATTACTCAGAAGAACGGAGGATGGGGCTTCCCTGGTGGCGCAGTGGTTGAGAGTCCGCCTGCCGATGCAGGGGACATGAGGTCGTGCCCCGGTCCGGGAAGATCCCACTTGCCGTGGAGTGGCTGGACCCGTAAGCCATGGCCGCTGAGCCTCTGCGTCCGGAGCCTTGCTCCGCAAAGGGAGAGGCCACAACAGTGAGAGGCCCGCGTACCGTGAAAAATAAAAAAAGAATGGAGGATGACAGAGTTAGTTACTATCAATTAGACCCTGTGGAACTCCCCCAGAAAATACTAAGCATAGAGTATAAATAAAAAGTTGATTTAGTAATTTATAAGAGAAGAAGAAATGGATTGGCTGGTGAGCCAGAGTAAAATAACTAAGATTTTAGAGGTGCCATATGATCCAACAATCCCACTCCTGGGCATATATCCAGAGAAAACTCTGATTCGAAAAGATACATGCACCCCAATATTCGTAGCAGCACTATTTACAATAGTCAAGACATGGAAGCAACCTAAATGTCCATCAACAGAGGAATGGATAAAGAAGATGTGGTACACGTATACAATGGAATATTACTCAGCCATAAAAAAAGAATGAAATAATGCCATTGGTATAGACGACCTTATTTACAAAGCAGAAATAGAGACACAGACGTAGAGAACAAACGTATGGATACCAAGAGGGAAAGGGGGAGGTGGGATGAATTGGGAGATTGGGATTGACATATATATGCTATTGATACTATGTATAAAATAAATAACTAATGAGAACCTACTGTATAGCACAGGGAACTCTACTCAGTGCTCTGTGGTGACCTAAATGGGAAGGAAATCCAAAAAATAGGGGATATAGGCATACGTATAGCTGATTCACTTTGCTGTGCAGTAGAAACTAACACAACATTGTAAAGCAACTGTACTCCATTAAAAATTGAAAAAAAAAAAGAATGAAATAGTGCCATTTGCAGCAGCATGGATGGACCTAGAGATTATCATCTAAGTGAAGAAAGTCAGAGAAAGACAAATACCATATGATATCACTTATATGTGGAATCTAAAACATGATGTAACAGAAACAGACTCACAGACACAGAAAACAAACTTACAGTTACCAAAGGGGAGAGAGGTGGTGGGGCAGCGATAAATGAGGAGTTGGGATTAGCAGATACATACTACTGTATATAAAATACATAAACAACAAGGTCCTACTGTATAGCATAGGGAACTAAATTCAATATCCTGTGATAAACCATAATGGAAAAGGATATGAAAAAGAATGTGTGTGTGTGTGTGTGTGTATATATATATATATATATATGAATCATTTTACTGTATACCAGCAACTAACATGACATTGTAAGTCAACTATATTTCAATTAAAAAAAACACTAAAATTTTTCTTTACATCATGATTTTTATTTTGGTTTTTGTTTTGTTCTTTTAACGAATTTGGCTGGGAAAGAATTTTAGGACTGTGGAGTAAATAGATCAGAACAAATAAAAAGGTACATAACAGGTAAGAAAAGTACCATTTTTAGCTGGGACTTCAAGTACGTGAAATAGGTAATTTGGGGAAATCTTAGGTTTCTGGGCTTATTACATGTCTGGGAACAAAGCTAGATTTTACCATTTTCATTTGCAGAAGCAAAATATGTCTTGGACTCCTGCATCTAAACTAGCAGACAACTTGTATCACTTACATTTTACGAAAAGCCAAGGCATTTCACTTTTGATATATATGTTCCTGAAGGTTTACCATGTTTGTTTGTTCTTTTGTTTTTAATAGAGTCCTGTGAAGATAAATCAGATTAGCCTGGATGAAAGTGGCGAACACATGGGCGTGTGTTCAGAGGATGGCAAGGTATGGAGATTACATGGTCACGTGGAAAGCAGCGCTCCAGCTCTGTGGGCTGTGATGTTACCAACTCCAAGGGCTAGAGCAACACTGTGCCTACTGTATACCTGCAGTAGGAGAACCTTGATTATTCTTTTTGGGTATCGGACTTGCTCCCGATTGCTCATAATTAAAGTAAAATATATTTTGCGCAAATGTGCCTTAGGAAAAATAATTACAAGAATGTCAATAATGTAACCAGCATTAAGCTGATTAACAGCTGTGGCAGAGGGACATGTCACCTTAATCATTACTGCCGTGCCACTGAGGCTTCAGCGACTGGTCTGCAGTTCCTGCAAGACAATGGTTTAATGCCTTTCTGCCATAAATCCACAAAATTGGATTTTGTGGGCATGATTTCTGTGGGCTGGCGGTTTTCATTTTCACACACCAGTTATGAATGTTTCTCCTGAATTATAGAATATTTTGATAAGCAATCATAGTTTATCAGAAGAATAAAGTGTCTTACAGTGGCCACATTAAATAAATGTAAAATCAATATACGTACAGTTTCTAAAAACCTGGCCCCTACTTCCTCGACCGAGGACACACATCATTTGTGCAGCGTATAACTAACCATTATCAGTGCTTTCTTGCTGATGTTGAGCTGTGACATTTAGTGGTTGTGGTGATTGATTTTCCACTTATAAGAATGTCTTTTGTTTTTCAGTCAATGGAAGGCTTTTCTAATGTTGTTTTGCAATGATAAAATTCTAATGCACAGCGTATTTAAGCTACTCTTCTAAAATAACAGTTGAAGAAGAGAGTGCATTAAGAATCAGTACAGAACCTTACATATTCTGGACTCCATAGGGCAGATTTCCTAATCTAATTTTATGTTTTTTATGGGATCTAAATTCAATGGGCCATTAGGATAAGTAAATTAAAAACAGTGTAATCAGCGTAAAAGATTTATACCCATTTAATCTGTTAACAAAAGAAAAATGAAGTCTTCTTGACAGACAAGAATGCATTTTTATATATCTAAGCCGAATGTTACCCAAAGAGTCTAGTAATAGTAATTGGAACACTCATGCTTTTCAAAAAGCACTGTCAACTTTTCTGAAATTCTGAGATGAACCAGACCATCAAAGATAGATAAGGGAGGAGTTGGTATGTGCAGAAATTGAGAAGAATTATCCAAACTCTTGAAACATTTCGTATTTATAAGAAAGATCGTCTTCACTTTTGTTTTCTGAAAGGTGAGGAAGAATTCCTTCTGGATTAATGCCAATGTAATTGAACTAATTTGTTGAAGGAGAATATTGTTTTTGAATTGGAAAAGAACTTATACTAAGATACTTCATCTAAGAATTTTCAGAACTCTAAATTTTGAAGAATTACTATTTGATGCGGCAAAGCAGTATATTTTAACTACTGTGTCTGGTGGATAACGAGATGACCCTCAGATATCTCCTGGCACACTTCTTGGCAAGCACCTCTGTCTTCCTATTTTAGTCAAATTTATAACTGCCATATTTTGTTGTAGACCCATGATGCATTTTTTTTTTTTTTTTTTTTTTTTTTTTTTTTCCTTGCGTTATGCGGGCCTCTCACTGTTGTGGCCTCTCCCATTTGCGGAGCACAAGCCGCTCCGCGGCATGTGGGATCTTCCCGGACCGGGGCACGAACCCGTGTCCCCTGCATCGGCAGGCGGACTCTCAACCACTGCGCCACCAGGGAAGCCCCCATGATACATTTTTAAAGAATGGTTTTCTCATATATTTTATCAGTGTTGATAGAAGTGAAAATAAATATTTCAGCGCACGTCGTTGTGCAAGCTAGCCCTCCTCGTGGGTTAGTCAGAATTGTGAAAATTGAGGCGCTAATATGCAGTGATCTAGTAAAGTGGTTAGTGATGATAGCAACAGAAAGATTATTAAGCAAGATCAACTCCAGATACCTAGATCTCGTGCATCTTTCAATGGCTGTTGTGATTCTTCTTTCTTTAGTGCATTAAGATTCCTAGATAAATCATTACCTTCTATTTCACAGATAACCTTTGATATTCAGTTTTAAAGTCATAATTCTAACAGTTGTTTAAAATGTGTTCTGTTTAGTCAGCTGGTGCTCAGTTCTAGTCTTTTTATCTATCCTCGAGTTCCAAATTTTGAAATACACTCACACATATACTGTGTGTGCGCACGCGCGCGCGTTTGTGTCTGTGTGTGTTACTGGTACACGTTTTTAGGTAACTTTCCGCGTAAGTACGTACCAGCCTTATTTTCTGATCTCTTGCCCATGTCGCCCTCATGCATAAACTAGAATTCATTTAATATAGAATTCTGGGTTGAACTATTTTCTCTCAAAATTCTGGAGACTTTGCTCCCTTCTGACTAACCTTTATTTTCCTAGACATGTCAGAGGTGCTATTTTTTGTGGCCTATTTTTGTGGTTTCACAAAACCTTTTTAATTTTTTTTCTGTCCTGCCTTGGCTCTCAGACTCATCATAATAACAACAACACTACCAATGGCAACGAACAGCCCTTGTAATTCAGTTTGCTAAGTCAGTGTCTTGTTTGGGTCTATTTTCAATCATTTTGTCTGGAAGAGGGTAAGTCCTTTTGATCCATATACTGAAGAATTGTTTTCATTTCAGGAAAGTTGACTTCTGTCCTGATTTTGATTATTGCTTCAGTTCCACGTGTTCTCATTTCTTCAGAGAAACTCAATAATCCTTAGGCTGGAGGCGGTATTGCGCGGAAGCTAAGAGCATCGCTCTGCACCGCGCCTGCCTGGGCGGCTTTCCCACTCTTCTCTGTTAGGTCAGAGATGTTGCTTGACTCCCGGCCCCTCCACTGCCTCAGCTGGGCAGTGGGCACAGTGCGAGGCCTGGATGGGAATGTGGCAGAGCCAGTGCTGGGTGTGTGGCAAGTTCTAAGTTCATTGTGTTTTTATTGCTAACCCTTCACTAACCATCTGTAGTCTGGCCTCTTCCCCTCCCATTTTATTGTACCTCACTCACCTTTTCAAGGTAAGTTGGTGAATGGATAAGCCCTATCCACGCTTCTTCTCTTTTGAAAATATATGTAGGGGGGGTTCCCTTTTCTCTTACACCCTCTTCGGCATGTATTGTTTGTAGATTTTTTGATGATGGCCGTTCTAACCGGTGTGAGGCAGTGCCTCACTGTAGTTTTGATTTGCATTTCTCTAATAATTAGTGATGTTGAGAATCTTTTCATGTACTTTTTGGCCATTTGGAGAAATGTCTATTTGGATGTTCAGCCCACTTTTCTGATTGAATTGTTTTTTTTGATATTGAGCTGCACGAGTTGTTTATGTATTTTGGAGATTAATCCCTTGTCGGTCACTTCATTTGCAAGTATTTTCTCCCATTCTGTGGGTTTTCTTTTTGTTTTGCTTATGGTTTCCTTTGCTGTGCAAAAGCTTTTAAGGTTAATTAGGTCCCACTTGTTTATTTTTGTTTTTACTTTCATTACTCTTGGAGGTGGATCAAAAAAAGATCTTGCTATGATTTACATCGGAATGGGAGGGATAAATTGGGAGATTGGGATTGACATATACACACTACTATATATAGAATAGATAACTAATAAGAACCTACTAAATAGCACAGGGAACCCTATTCAATACTCCGTAATGGCCTGTATGGGAAGAGAATCTAAAAAAGAGTGGATATATGTGTATGTATAACTGACTCACTTTGCTGTACACCTGAAACTAACAGGACATTGTAAGTCAACTATACTCAAATCTTTAAAAATTAATTTTTTAAAAAGAAAGAAAATACACTGTAAGAAAAATTGGTCATGTTTTGTGACACACACACAGACACACACACATACGTATACCTCACACATGTGCTTTGCTTTCTCATGGTTTTTATCCTCTCATTTCTCTGTAGTCAGGGAGAGTTTCTCTTCTTGTTTTGGTCCCTTTGCTGAGGTACTTTGCTTCCAATATCAATTTTGCTTTCTGGAGTAGACTTTTATCCTGTTTTGCCTTTTTGTTTTGCCTGAACTCTTTCGATCTCTCCCAATGTTCTTTTCACGTCAGCCTGATCTATGTTTAATTTTTAAAACCAAAAATTATGACTTCTTCTGTGTCTTAGAGTGTCTTAGAGGTGGAGTGGTTGGGAGGGGAATTATCCTGCCACATTTGAGCTGTGTGTTGTCAGCTAAGTGATTCAAACCTCTCTGTGCTTCACCCTATTTCCTCCTCTATAAAAGGAGGGATAGTAACAGTACCTGCCTCATTGATCATTAGGAGAAATGAGTTAGTTAATATATGTCAGTGGTTTGGAATAGTATCTGGAACAGAAGAAACACGTAGTAGTCGTCAGCTGTTACCGTCATCATTATCATTGTTGTCCTGTCCTTTGCTCCAGATTCATAGAGGTCTCTTCTTATTGAAGTTGACAAATAGTTTTGTAGTTTGTTTTTGTCTTCTCTGGTTTTGCTATTAAAACTTTTTTTTTTGGCCGTGCTGCACCGCATGTGGGATCTTAGCTCCCCGACCAGGGATCGAACCTGCACCCCCTGCAGTGGAAGCATGGCGTCTTAACCACTGGACCACCAGGGAAGTCCCTATTAAAACATTTTTTAAAGCATGGTTTTTCTCCCTCTGAGTCACTGGAATTGTGTTCTGCAGTGTTCTTTTTATAGACCTTGTGTGCATTTTTGTTACTCATTTATCCATTCCAGAACAGGGAGACAAGCTCTTTCTGAACCTGGGTTAGCAAACAGATTCAGACCCTGCTTGTTATCCTTTTGGGTGTTGTAGAGTCACCCTTCAGCTCACATAGGGACCTGTTAATGAGCTCCATTTCCTCTGACTAGAGGTATCCAGTTAAGGCAGCTCCTCCAGTGAACTCCTATCTTCCCTCCTGGGTCTTTGACACCCTCCATGGGTGGAGAATATGAAAACCTGCCATCTCCCCTGCGAGGGTGCCTCCAGCCACTGCCCTAGATGGAATGACAGTTTACATGTTCACCCCTGTTCTTCTAATGCTTGACCTGTTGTTACTTGCAAGCCAGGGTTTGAGAGGGGCTGTTACAATGAAGTAATAGCTGGGAGGGTTGTCCAACACTCTGGTCACCTCATTCACAGTCTCTCTATGTCAGATGGCCCGTCGCCCAGTTTTCTGGTTTGCAAATACATAGAATTCCATGCTAAAGGGGAGCAGGCTTATACACCTTCCTGATTGTTCCATGAGAGTAGGGTTTCTTTACTTGTGGTGGTAAACACATAGCACATACGTTTTGTGGTCCTCCTATTTCTCTGTGGGTTTGTAGTTAATGAGAAATCCTCCAAGACTTTGCAGTAGATTGACCCTAAGGCCAATTGTTCTGAATTTTCTCTTTGTCTTCACTAGGTATTTTTGTGACAAGTTGGGAGAGGTTGTCAGGGCTGCTATAGGGGATACCATTATCAAAAGGATCCTCTCTATTTTAACCTTTAAAAATATGATTCTTAACTCAGATGCAAGCTTCCTAAAAGCCCAAACTTTCTAGGCAATCATTCAATGGATTCTTTTCACAGAGGAGTGTGCTAATCACTGAGAAAATGACAAATAAAAGAGGGAGAGAGAGGGGAGATGAATGAGAATTGTTTTGGGTTTTACTAGCTTTAGTGGTTTAAGTTCTGACCAACTAGTTTGGGTGTCACATTAGTGAAATGAACCAAAATATCAAAGATTTTACAACTCACCCTGCTTGTACTGGTAAAGTTTATGAGATTTGTCTTGTGATGTCTCAGTGTTTTCCATACTGAAGGAGACAATGACAGTTGAGGAAAGTGTTATTCAGTTAAACATACTAATAGAGACTGACCCAAGAGTTCTAATCTTGCTTTGCCGCCTTCAACAAACACCCCTGCAGCCCCTAATCCGGGTACGCTATGGCACTTTTGCTTCCACTAGCTCTAAAGGGTAGTTATGAGTTTCAGCCTGTTTTCTAAGAACTTCTGCAATTTGTTCTCTTCTGTTTATTCCTTCTTATCACTCTACTATTATATCTTCATATGGATTTGTTTTTTTGTTTGTTTGTTTTGTTGTTGATTTGTGATTTTTAAAGGGACACCCCTGGAAATTCGTAATTTAATTTTCACCATTAGATTTACAATATTTCTAATATTTATTTTCTCGCTGATACCTCAGTCTTTTACGACGGGCTCATATTTGTTTGTTTTCAGCTCATATACTTTTCCCTGCAATAAAAATCACTTTTGTTCTTAAAATCATCTTTACCCTGTTATAGGCAGAAGGAACTTTATCCATTTGAATGAAGAGCCTGCTGCATTTAGTTTCAACTTCTGTTGTAGAGTTGTCTAATTCATTCCCTTTCATGTTGGTTTGGCAAATATTTGAGGCTTTTGATTTTCTTTTCCCTATTCTACTTTTCTTACACTTTATATATTGTAGAAATCTTTATTATTTGCAGATTTTTGGCTAGCTCCTATAATGATAGAGTGTAGACGAATAGGGCTTGGAATACTCTTCTTGATTTTTACAACCTCAGGTGAGTCATTTATTTTTCCACAGAATCATCTGTTACACAGGCATAATGGTGTTTGCTTTCCAAATGAGGCAGAGCAAGATTGTCACTGCTAGTTACATACTGTCAGTTATCAATCTTTAAAAATGTCATTTTAAAGGTATTTCTTCTCATTTTCAAATCCATAAGGGTAGTTTAATTCAGAATAAAATTTCTAAAAAGGCCAGAATGACACTGGCCATTTTAATAGACAGCTTTTCCAGAAGGTTGTTCCCTCCACAGTTGGAGAAGACTGAGAAGTGACATCACATCTTTGAGGAGAGGTTATCGAAATATACTTTCCGATTGGAATGTTAGCCTAGAAATTATGTTGTGCCTCACACGGGACTTCCCCATTGGTTAAAAGTGCATCAAATTACAGCTAAAAAATAAATTTAGAGCTAAGAGGAACATCTAGACATTACTAGATGTTGACCACGGTATGAGTGAAATAAATACGTTCCACCTGAAAAAAAATACATTTTACCCCACCAGAAAGTTCAGTTTGTCTAGGGTGGGATCTGGCCATTAATTTCCAGGAATCCTAACTGTGCAGTCTGGCCTGAGACCCACTGAGGTAAAGCACGTGGAAGCATTTAGAGGTCCAAGTTGGTAGTAGGAGTGTAAGAGTTGACAGGGGACCACGTTGTCAGCGACATTGTTAGAATGAATTCATAGAAGTGGCTTATGTTAGAAGAATGTAAACTTCCTAGTTTAGCATGAGTTTCTACTGATGTGACATTAATAAGTTGAGCCCTTGTTAATTTACTCTGTTATGATTCAGGTGATACAGTACTTGTCTTATTTTGACCCCATTTTCTTGGATTTGTTGGGCTCATTCAACTACAACTTCCTAGGATAGAGTAAAACTCTGAATGCAGTGCTTTTCTTTTGAGCTTCTCTACCACCATTTTATAAGAAGTTCAATGCATCCTGTGCGTATACATTCATATAAAAGCAGTGGTGCAATGCCCTCTGAACAGTGAGATGCAAGGTGGTAGTGGGGCCTGCATGTATTTGCCACGTCAAGAATACATTTTAACAGATTACCTCTGATTAAATCAAATTCCCTCTATGTTACATTGTACCATGTGCTGTTCTTGGAACCCAAATAACATACTTGGCACAAGGGTGTAAAAAAAGCAGTCACAAAATGAATGGGATATTCTAAAGATTTTATAGTTTAATGAAATAATTTATCTCCTCAAATGATATAACATGAGTACATTTTCCTCTTGGAACTTGCACACATGAACTACTCAGAACTTACTAAGATGGGGACTTGCCTGGTGGTCCAGTGGTTAAGACTCTGCACTTCCAATGCAGGGGTCATGGGTTCGATCCCTGGTCAGGGACCTAGGATCCTGCATGCTATGCTGCACGGCCAAAAAAAGAAAGAAAAAATAAAAAACTTACTAAGATGAAAGCAAGAAAAAGTCTAAGTAGTTTTATATCTATTTAAAAAATTGAATTTATAATGAAAAACTTTCTCACAGAGAGCCATTGGACCCAGATGGCTTCACAGGTGAATTCTTAAAAATTTAAAGAAGAAATAACACCACTCTTCTAGAGACTAGAAAAAGCGTGAACACATCTCAAGTGTTGGGAAATAGTTCTAAGTGCCCCTAATAGCTGGTTCCAAGTGTTTGAGAGCTACTGGAATTCATACACTGTGCTTGTGAGAGTGTAAATTGATTGGAACCACTTTGCGAAGTCGTTTGGCTGTCTATTAGATGTGAACAGATGCATAACCTATGACTCAACAATTCCATTTCTTCATAAATGGGTATATAAGTGGACCAAAAGATTTGGAAAGAGTTTTCACTGCAGCATTATTCATAATAGCCTCCATCTGGAAACAACCCAAATGATCAGTGGAAGATGGATACATAAATTATGATGTATTCATACATTGAAATACTATAAGGCAGTGACAAAGAACCAGCTCCTGCTGTACGTACATAGCAGTATGGATAAATATCAGAAAGAAAATGTCGAGTGAAAGAAGCCAGTGAAATAGTTTATGATTCTATTTATATAAAATTCAAACATTAGCACAACTTACTGAAGGTGATAGATTTTGGAGGAGCGGTTAGTTTGTGAGGGTGTGAATGAATGGGAAGGAACACAAGGGAGCTTCTTGGGTTCTACTTCTTGACCTGGGTCATGGTTGCAGCGATATGTTCGTATCATAAAAATTTGTCAAGCTCTGAATCTGTCATCTGTACCGTTTATGTACATTACTCAATTGAATATGTATGTTATTCAATTTTTAAAGTCAACCACTCAGAGAAAACGTTAAGATTAAACAACTTTAAGGGAGGCACTGATAAGGAGAAAATTAAATCTTACATTTATACGCTCTAAATAGATTCAAGATAAGACTGTAAATGAAGTGCAGTTCACCTAATCTCTTGCCACTTTGATCTGCACAGTTGATTTATATATCTGTGACTCAAAAAAGAAGTTCCTTTTTCCTTCAAGGAAAGGAATAAATAATTCCTTTAGGAATAGTCTATGGGAAGTTCATAAAAGGGTATTAGTAACCTATTCATATCTATTTCCTTTTTAAAGTTGACGTCCATTTAATAAAACAAACTTGTGATGTGCAAAGGGAACTCTATCCATGAGATACTTGTAAAAATTTAATTTCAGCAGTGTGTTTTCACCCCCATAGAATTGTTTTCATTGGATATTTAATAGAGATTACACAGGCTTTAGATTACTAAGTGTTCTACTTTTGTTTTTTAAGATTTTTAAAAAATAAATTTATTTACTTAATTTTGGCTGCGTTGGGTCTTCGTTGCTGTGTGCAGGCTCACGGTCTTTCTCTAGTTGCAGCGAGTGGGGGCTACTCTTCGTTGCGGAGCACGGGCTCTAGGTGCGCAGGCTTCAGTAGTTGTGGTATGTGGGCTCAGTAGTTGTGGCTCGCGGGCTGTAGAGCGCAGGCTCCATAGCTGTGGTGCACGGGCTTAGTTGCTCCGCGGCATGTGGGATCTTCCCAGACCAGGGCTCAAACCCATGTCCCTTGCCTTGGCAGGCAGATGCTTAACCACTGCGCCACCAGGGAAATCCCGTATTCTACTTTTTTATTGATGGTATGTGTTCTCACTGACTCAGCAACCTTCTTTGTTACAGTCATGGTGAACTGACAAGATCCATTTACTTTTTAGGTGCAGGTGTTTGGACTATATTCTGGAGAAGAATTTCATGAGACTTTTGACTGTCCCATTAAAGTAAGTATTCAGTAAGTTTTAATTTTTCTGAGGATTTTCTCAACAAGGGCAATAGGATTACAATACTTTGAACACTACCAATCTTGCATTAATTTTGTCAGTAAGTATCTGTTCAACCAATGTACCAGATACTATTTGATGCTGGGAAGGTACACAGAATGTATATTATGTGACTGTGATCTCAGTCTATCCTCAGGAATCTTTTGTTGTAGTGGGTTAGATCACACACACACACACACACACACACACACACACACACACACACACATAATCTGTGATTAAAGACTCAAAGAGGTAAAAACAGTATTAAGGAATCTAAAACTGAGAGAGGTTACTTCTAGCTGTCCTCGTTAATGATGGCTTTGTAGATGGACTGTTGTTTGGGCTTTAATATACAGGGCTGATGGAGAAAGCTGACTTCCCATGTGGAAGAACAGTATAATATAAATGGAGAGGCTAGAAAATTCAAATCGTGTTCAGGAAGTGGCAAATAGTCTAGTTTAGATGGTGCATAAAATACTGACTTGGCAGGAAAGCTGCACAGGCCGATTGATGCTGGCTTTATATTCAGGCTAAGGAATTTGGACTCCGTCTGGTAGATAAGGAGAAATTATTGAATGTTGGAGAGCAAAGAAGTGGTATAAACTGAGCTAAGCTTAAGGAAAAGTAATATGGCAGCTATAACAGTGTTAGATGTGAGAGCTGATAGACCCAAGGCAGAAGGACCGATTTTAGGTAACAGTCATGGTAGTTACAGTGGGTATTACAGTTGTTAAAGGAAGAGGTCGTTCAACTTTCTCAGGTGTTTATTCAAACATTTATTGATCAACAGGTGAAGGAGAGATGGGATCTGATGTGTGTTTTAGAAAGCCAGCCCTGCCACAGTGCAGGCGGATGCAAGCAAGAGAGTGATTCGGGACAGGAGACAATTTAGAAGGCTAATGCCGTACTCTAGAAATGGTGTTACAGGAGCTCAGTGAAAAGAGGGATGGTGAGCACTCAAGGTGGTGTAGAAGGAATGAATCGGGAAAGCCTCGAGGAGGTAGACGTACTAAGACTTAGTGATGGCGTGGCTGAGGGTCATAAAAGATGGAGGAGCTGAGGGTGGATCCAGGGTCTTGCTTCAGTAATGGTGTGTGGGAATGTCATCAATGGAAATAAGGGATGGTTTGAGGAAGGGTGTTGCTAGTTTGGGCTTGAGTCTAGATAACTGTAGCACATCTGGTGGAAATGTTATGTAGGAAACATTCATGGAAACATGAATATGGACCTCAGTATGGAGATTGGTCCTAAAAACACAAAATGGATAACCACAGCTGAGTAAGATGAAACCATTTTGAAAGATATTATCCAGTTAAAGAGTCAGATGTGGCACATGTATACAATGGAATATTACTCAGCCATAAAAAGGAACGAAATTGAGTTATTTGTAATGAGGTGGATGGGCCTAGAGTCTGTCATACAGAGTGAAGTAAGTCAGAAAGGGAAATATAAATGCCGGATGCTAATGCACATATATATGGAATCTAAAAAAGCGGTACTGATGAACCTAGTGGCAGGGCAGGAATAAAGACATAGACGTAGAGAATGGACTTGAGGACACGAGGGGGAAGGGGAAACTGCGACAAAGTGAGAGAGTTAGCAGTGACATATATACACTACCAAATGTAAAGTAGATAGCTAGTGGGAAGCAGCCGCATAGCACAGGGAGGTCAGCTCGGTGCTCTGTGACCACCTGGAGGGGTGGGATAGGGAGGGTGGGAGGGAGACGCAAGAGGGAGGGGATATGGGGATCTGTGTATACGTATAGCTGATTCACTTTGCTGTACAGCAGAAACTAACAGAACATTGTAAGGCAATTATATTCCAATAAAGATATTTACAAAAAGAGGGAGAAGGCTGATGGTCAAATAATTCTGGAGCACTAATTTAAAGATTAAGGTAGTGGGAGAAAAAAAAGCAGTGAGGGATCTAAGAAGAATTAGTTAGGGTGATATTTGGAGGAGACCCAGGAGAGTGGTGTCAGGGAAGCCAAAGGAGAGACAGAGGGTTTCCAGAAGGAAGGAGTGGGCATCGTGGGAAAGGCAGTGCGGAGATCACGCGAGGTGGGGACTGAAACACGTAGCAGGAGGCTCACCACATGTCAGGAAGTAAATGGGAAATGAAGGAGAAACAAGCAGTGCAGACTCTTCTTCCAAGCAATTTCCTGATGACGAAGGGAACTCATCTGATGGACGGAGAGAAAGCCAGCGTCCCAGGAGCATTTCTGCTGGTCATGTTTTGGTTGACGGTAAAAAGTCAGTAGAGGGGGAAAGATCAAAAATAAGAGAAAGGGAATACTTAGTGGAGCGGCACTAAGGGATGGGATCCGTCGTGTTGGGAGGGAGAGAAACCTTGGATATGAGTCCTCCAGCCTCCCGCCGGTGAGGCCAAGCCCGAGTGTTGCTACGCTGGGCAGTGAAGGACCCGCAGTCAAGGGCAATGACCAGGAGAAAAAAAGGAGTAAGGTAATGTGGTGGAGGGGCATGGGGATGTCTGGAATAGCAGCTGCGATGTAGGATGATGCACTGTAAGAGAGCTAAGAGGACTGTCCTAAGAGATTTTAAGAATGTGTAACAACAGAATATGCAAATGATTCCATTGATATCCAGGATGGATTAGGGAAGTGTGGAAGGGAATAAGGGCTAACCTGGGAAGGAGGAATGGTTAGAGAAATGAGGAGTCATTTGCTAAATGCCCTCAAAATGACAGTGTAGGAAGAGGAATCTATTCCGTTGGAGGATGGAAATGCATTAGTTAATTAACAAGAGTGTAGAATGTATTTAGTTGGAGTTTTATGAAGGTGTAATTGTGTGAATTTTTTTTAATGCCCAGAAATATTCTGTTAGGTTGGAAAAAAGCACAGTGTATTAACTGATGAATACATGGGTCTGGGGATAAGAAAATAAGGAGGCAGAGTCTCTGCAGGCTGACAGCCATAAAAGAGGAGCCCTGAAGATGGGTTTACACTGAGTGCAGCCACCAGACCTTCAGAAATGCCACTGGCAAGTGAAGTAAGCGGTGGTGAGGATGGAGCAGCCTTGAGAGCAACCTTTCTGAGGGGTTGGGAGGAGATCGTGGAGAGCGGATGAGAAGCAGGGGGCCGGGAACTGAGGCTGGAGGTGAAAGGGAAGGGCCTGGATGCTGCGCTCCGGGACTCCTGGGTCCTGCAGCTCTGTTGTCTTTCTGCTGTTAGGGCGCGGATGTAATTGTGCTAAGTGTCTGAGGCTGCATCGCCAGCCCTGTTCCACTGGGTGCTCTCAGTCACTGGAAGGCATCTGGACAAGGAGATAGTTGGGTTCTTCCTCTGGGTTTCTTCTATGAAATGTATTCAGTTACACACATTTGTGACATCTCGCTGCCTCTACTGACTGCCTTGGCTGTGTCTAAAGAGGGGTGCCCACTCAGAGGGTCCCACTCAGCCAGAAATGACGAATGTTCACTCTCATCTTTTAGCTTTGACCCAGCTTCATAGAAGAAACCTTTTCACAGCAGAGCAAAACTCATCCTCAGTTGGTGCAGAATATTACCTGCATAGATTACTTCCTACCAGGATACCGGGTTGATTTTTAGATCATGCTGCCGGTAATGTACAAAGGGCTTTCATTCTGTGCTGGAGCTATGACTCCCAAACCACTGTTGGGTCCTTATTCCCTTGCAGATCATCGCCGTGCATCCGCATTTCGTGAGATCCAGCTGCAAGCAGTTTGTGACCGGAGGGAAGAAGGTAAGCGCTGCGTGTTGACCGTCACGTGCCGTCTTTGAGGGGGTTCTGTTTGCTCTTTAATTTATCTTTAGTATTTTTAATGTCTGCCTCTTCGTGCAGAGAAAATTCGCGAAAGCACAGTGTAGTGAAATCATGAGACCATCACCTCCTGGGGGAGGTGTGGCCTCAGTGCTTCTCACTGACATTCCTTTGGAGTAGATGTAGGGCAAAAACAGAGATGTTACTCCAGCTACCACCTAGTGCTTTGAAATATTGTCCCTTCCACAAAGAAGTAGCATTTAACAGTAACAAAAGAGCAAGTAAACTAGTGTTTTTTCCCCTTGTAGAAAATCTCATGCAGGCCTTGAGACAGTTTTAGAACAATTATGGCTCTTTTTTACTGACATGTTCCTGGCATATTTTATTATCTTAGTGCCATTTAAAAAATAGGAGAGTAAAATAATCCTTTTGTACATTTACATGTTTGTAGATAAATTCTAAAATTAAAGACTCTGCTTATAGAATAAGTTCATTTTTCTATTCTTTTTTTTTTTAACATCTTTATTGGGGTATAATTGCTTTACAATGGTGTGTTAGTGTCTGCTTTATAACAAAGTGAATCAGTTATACATATGCATATGTTCCCATATCTCTTCCCTCTTGCGTCTCCCTCCCTCCCTATCCCACCCCTCCAGGCGGTCACAAAGCACCGAGCTGATCTCCCTGTGCTATGCGGCTGCTTCCCACTAGCTATCTACCTTACGTTTGTTAGTGTACACATGTCCATGCCTCTCTCTCGACCTGTCACAGCTCACCCTTCCCCCTCCCCATATCCTCAAGTCCGTTCTCCAGTAGGTCTGTGTCTTTATTCCTGTCTTACCCCTAGGTTCTTCATGACATTTTTTTTTTCTTAAATTCCATATATATGTGTTAGCATACGGTATTTGTCTTTCTCTTTCTGACTTACTTCACTCTGTATGACAGACTCTGGGTCTATCCACCTCATTACAAATAGCTCAATTTCGTTTCTTTTTATGGCTGAGTAATATTCCATTGTATATATGTGCCACATCTTCTTTGTCCATTCATCACCAGGGATTTTTTTAAAAACCATTTTTATAATAAAATGCTACCACTGTCCTGGAACTCTGAATGTTATTTCATATTCAGTTTGGGGATCAGTGGAGAGAAGGTTCTGTGCGGTATTTCTATAGCGGGGTATAGGTATGGAATGGCTGCTTTGAGGCTCAGCTACCAAATGATTTGGAATGTTCTGTAGTAGTTATCTGTCTTTTTCCCTTGGTCTGCAGCTTCATAGAATGATAGGGCATTCATAGAATGTCTATAGAATTAATCAGCGGGAATTACAGATTTAAACTAACTTTCTCTATCTTAGACCTGCAGCTAATTCACTCCTGAAAGAAATAGCTACCTTACTCGTCTTTGTTGGCCTCAGGAAAGAGTAACTTTAAAATTCCTCTTGTTAAAGTATTTCTTTACTAAGCACTTTTCTAGTTAGGAAATTTAATGTGAGATAGAGCATGAATTCACTTAGCTGTTGTCGACTGAAAAAAATGCACAACGTGAAAGTTGTGAGTTAAGTTTTATCTGGGGCAAAATGAGGGCAATAGCCTGGGAGACAGCATTTCAGATAGCTCTGAGGAACTGCTCCAAAGAGGTAGGGGGAAGGTCAGTATATATGTGATTTTGGTGAAGGGGGAGTACATGCAGTCAAGCACACATTTTTTGCACATATTTTTCTACTAGTCTCATGAAGGTTACTGCTAGTCACAAGGAGCAGATGTCACCGTGAAGGATTTTAGTGTTTTTCTAGATATGAGGAGATGCAAGAATTGGGCTCATAAAATTGGCTCCTGAAAATATCTAACTATCTGAAGACCTGTTCTGCCAGTTCCCCCCCCCCCCACCAGAGCACAGAGTGCCTGATTTCTGATCTCCACCCTGAACTCCTTTCAGACGGTGTTGCAGGTCAGCAGCTGCAGGGGCTCATAATTGAATCCTTGTAGAGGTAAATAGCAAGTGCCAATTTGTAGGTGACAGTATAATTTAAACCCAGGCATTTTTATTTAAAACTCAGTGGGGATAAAGAATGCTGAGTCACTGTGTTTTTTTGTTTAAGTGGCCTAAAACGACAGACTTTCATTATCTCACAGGTCAGAAATTAAAGAGTGACTTTCCTGTATGGCTCTGGCCCAGGGTCTCTTGTGAGATTTCAGTCTATTTTTTGCCCAGGGCTGCACTCATTTGAAGGCTTGACTGGGGCTGCAGTATCTGCTTTCTAAAAGGTCTGTTGCCTTCTTAAGAGCAATCCCTCATAAAATGTTGATAACTTAGAATATTGATAAATCACTTTGGTTGAAGTATTTCCCTAGTGGGGATACAGTTTTGAGTTCTAGCTTGCCAATTTCAGAAGTTAGAGATTTTACAGTTGTCCCCTATTTTTTGAAGGTATTGGTATGAAAGAACATATTAGAGATAATATGAGTGATGTCCAAGTGGACTCAAACTCATACTTTGGGATTTTCCTGTGTTGGTGTGTGTTCTTAATAATCAGCTTGTTGGTGGAAGTTAATAATTGCTTTTATACTGTGAAGGATACCTATAGTCTGATGTAGTTTGCCACAGTAATTTTGCTACATGAATGTCTTGTAAACCTGCCGGATGCCTGGGTTAACTGTGTCAATTTCATGTTCTTCGTCCTTCTACTTAGCACTTGACATCATTTACAAACATCTGCAGGAAGGACCTTGTGAATGTAGCTGTTTGGGCCAAAGCTTGTTGAGTAGATACATGAGCAATTATATGGACGACAGAGTAGTGCAGCATCTAAGTGCGGGCAAGGTCATATGGAGAGAAGTTGGAATTTATACAAAGACTACGTTGTGAATAGCAGTAAAATAAGTAGAATTCACTGAACGCTGAACAGGCAAGAACATCAGAGATTTGGTTCATCTTTTTGGTTATCACTGACTGCTTGACAAGTTTTTCTGTGTTCACTGTTCTAAGAGACAGCATTGTCTTTTCTCCTTTCTTCCTATTCACTTCTCCAGAAATGCATGGGTAGACATTTCTTCCCAAGCACAAAAAGATGTTTAATTATGTGTATATAAATTAAAAACAGTTCAGGTCATCTGGTAAAAAAGTTTAAAAAAAATGATATTGTTAGAATTTCTGTATTAAAATAATTTAAAAGAAAAAACACACACCAAAGGGTTAGTATATTGTATAAAGGACTTCAGATATTGAGCTTGATAAAAGTATATGTGTGATATTTTGAAGTGGAGAATCAGAGGATTCCACATGTCAATGTAAATGATATTGTCATCTCTTTTAGATTTTTTAATAGCTTTATTGATATGTAATTTGCATACCATAAAGTTCACCAGTTTAAAGTGTACAAATTCAGGGACTTCCTTGCTGGTCCTGTGGTTGAGACTCCACGCTTTCACTGCGGGGGCGCGCAGGTTCCATCCCTGGTCGGGGAACTAAGATGGCGCATGCTGCGCGGCACAGCCAAAAAACTAGAGCGTACAACGCAGTGGTTCTTAGTATATTTACAGAGTTGTGCAACCATCACCATAATCTCATTTTAGAGCATTGTCATCATCCCAACCTCGTCCGCATTAGCAGTTACTCCACATTCCCCTTCCCCCACTTCCCAGCCCCAAGCTACCACTAATGTATTTCACTTCTCTATAAATTTGCCTGTTCTGGATATTTCATGTAAATTCTGGGTATTTCATGTAAATGGAATCATACAGTAAGTACGTGGCCATTGTGTCTGACTTCTTTCATTAGTTTTCTAGGTACATCCATGTTGTAGCATGTATCAGTACTTCATTCCTTTTTATGGCCAAATTACATTTCATCGTATGGATATATCATATTTTATTTAGCAATATTTAATTATGATTTATTATTTAAATGTTTGATTTAAATATTTTTCAGTTGATGGACATTTGGGTTGTTTCCACCTTTTGACTATTGTGAATAATGCTGCTGTGAACAGTAGTCAAAACGTGGAAGCAACCTAAATGTTCGAGAGATGAATGGGTAAAAAAGATGTGGTGTGTATATATATATATATATATATATATATATATATATATATATATATATATATATACA